ACTGCTTCCCCTGCAGCTAACCTAGTATTGCTTTGATGGTAACATCTCTGGTAACTCTAACTATGGTATCTATGATAACTAGTGTCATAAGTATATTCAATATTATGTGAAATAGCATTAATTTTTATTATTAATACCATTAATGCCAAAAGTTAAATTCAGCACTTTAACTCCAATGTAATTGTCTTTTTATGAAATACATTATTTATTTATTTTTAGAGAGCGGGGAAGGGAGGAAGGAAAAGAGGGAAACATCAATGTGTGGTCGCCTCTTGCATGCTTCCTACTGGTGACCTGGCCTGCAACCCCAGCATGTGCCCTGACTGGGAATTGAACCTGCAACCCTTTGGTTTACAGGCCAGCACTCAATCCATTGAGCTACACCATCCAGGGCATAATTTCATTTTCAAATTGAAGGTCTATGTATTCATTCAAACAACTGGGTTTAGGGTATCAAAAAGAGCAATGGCAGAACTGCATTATAAAACATTAAGAATTTATGAACCCATAGGATACCTTAAAAAAAGAAATGGGGGGAAACCTGGCTTTATAAAAACTCATCAGCCAATACATGTAGAAGAAATAATGAAATACCACATTTTTTTCAGCCCTCTCCTGCTTTATAAATGATTAGGGTGAAGATTTTTTATGAATGCTAAAACCTCTGGGTGGAAGATTTTTGGGGAATAGGACATACACAAGGTCTCAAGTTACTTCAGATCACATACTAATCCCAAGAGGGAAACTGTACTTCACAATGGAGAGCTCCTGCAGCCACCACCCGTTAACCAAGTGACCACACTCGGCAACACCAAAGGGACGCACCTGTGGCTTCCGCTGTGCTGCAGTAAGTCCGTGACACCGCCTCTGTAGACTTCTCACCAAAAATAGGAATCTGAATCAACTCAGGAGGAAATTAGACAAGATGTTGATAATTGGTGAGTCTACATGAACGTTATTTTGGGTGTTCTTTGTATTGTTCTTTCTGGTTTTGAAATTTTTCAAAATAAAAGTTGGTGAAAATATAGTGTTGTTTTACAAGATTTCTATGTAATACAAAACACAAAAAGGGTGGGTGAAGTCCTGAGTGAAACTCAATCTATCTGTCCAAAAGGAAGCCTAGCTGAAGATACAGCAGAATTCCACCTGGTCCTTCAATGACCCGAAGCCCTACACACCCTCTGTGTGACCTCTGTGTCTTCACAGAGATGAACAACACAGCTTTTCCTGCCTCCACGAGTTCAGGACACGAAACACAGCACAACTGACAAGGCGCGTCTACTCACTCCAGAAATAAATTCGAGATCTGGAAGCAACTTGTAAATTTTCAAAACTTGATTTTTTATTTTCAAAAGAAAACAACATTTTTAAAGACCTTTCTATTTTTTTGAATTAGAAAAAAAAAAACCTACTGAAATTCTAACAGGAAAAAAAAATTAACAGCATGTTGTTATTTTTTTTTAAAGATTTTATTTTTAGAGAAAAGGAAGGGATAAATAGAGTAAGAGAAACATTCATTGGTTGCCTCTCATATGTGCCCCAAATGGCAATCAAACTCGAAACCCAGGCACGTGTACTGACTGGGAATTGAACCAGCAAACTTTCAGCAAAACCCCAACAACAGGGCCACACTGGTCAGGGCTATTCTCACTCTTTAATATGATTTAAGGATCGATAGGACAAATTAAAAGTACAGATTCTTAATTAAGAGTTTGTTGTATGAGAAGGAACCTGAATTTCAACTTTGAAATCATGAACTAAATACATTCAAGGAAGGGTCATGACATTTTGCTTTAATCAAAGAGCAAGTCAAAATTTATACTTAGATTGCATGTTTGAAAAAAACCTTAATCAATTGTAGACTTCAGTGTAAGATTATACACTACAGGGTCTTTCCATTTTATCTACTTCTTCAGATCACCTCTCACATTCGTGAATGTCTGCAGTCAAAGGAACAGCAAATGCTGGAACACTCCTGGAAGAGGGCAGCACCTACTACTGCAAAGGGCAAAGCTAATGAAAAATGATAAGCCTACATTTTGCACAGAGGGCACACGGAATGTGTTTAGTGGAAGAGCCACATGGTATGCCAAATTTTGCCACACCCCAAACATTTCCAGACAATAAAACCCTCAAGTTTTAATTCTCATATACATTAAAAGGCTTAACTAATATAGAATTAGGTTGCACCCTCATTATTTATATTACTCTTTCGTTGTAAATTTTATCATCTCAGCCACCAACCTATCAAGTTCCTCTTGAATCCAAAGATTAGTATTTTACAAGCAAAACAGAGACAAGGAAAATACTAAACTAATTCTTCAATAGAAGCATTGAATCTAAAGGGGAAATAATGCCTAACTGAAGATCTGGCACCTAGGCAAGTAACTCAGTCTTGTACCTGACTCTTCCAAAGGAAATAATTCCCCAACTCCTGAGGATTTAAAAATTTTCAAAATAAAAAGTAGATGAAAATATGGTTTATATTTTGCAAGATTTTCTATGTAATACAAAAAAAATAAAAGAGTAATTAAGTCTTGATTTAAAATCAATCCATCTCTCCAAAAGTAAGCTTTGCCAAAGTCAAAGCAGAAATTCACCTGGTTCCCAATAACCCAAAACAAACGCTGTAGACTGCTGACATTATGAACCATCAGTAAACTTTTCGGTACTGAGGTACACCAGAATTAACTGATGCTAAAGAATGTCACTAAAATAAAGGTGAAAAGAAAGCAAGTGTATAAAAATCAAAGGTTCTCAACCCTGGAGAGTTTTTCAAAAGTACACTTCCTGGGACCTACATCAGAGTGGTCCTGTTGGAATTTTTTGTTTCAAATTTTTTTACTGTATTTTTTTTCCATTACCATTTATCCTCTTGGGCCATGACACCAAAATTTCTTCACAAGATTCCTAGGTGATTTTATGTGCTTCCGGAATTAGGATCACTGGTTAAGAGTAGGAAGGTGAAAAAGTACAGTGACAGGAAGCAAAAAGACCTTCAACAAGTAAAAGCTAATCATGGTTACTAATTTGTTTCAAAGTATCAGCTTTTCCATTAAACTGTCATTAACTTCATAGCACCCTCTACTGGTAAGGAAGGGTATCTACTATTCCCAGAACTAGGGGACATTGCCAACGTTAAAAGCGAGCATGTCTAGAAACAATTAGTACCTCCATTACTCCAATATTTTCTCATAATTTAAGTGTAAAATGGGTTAACAAATATTGCATTGGCAAATGTGGTTTTAAACTTGATCTCAACAGTCAGGAAGTTCAAATGTGTCAGTGGTTTATCTCAAGGTTTGTCAACCTTGACACTACTGACTCTTGAACCAAATGATTCTTGGGTGCAGTTATGCAGTATTTTTTAAGACATAGAAACACTTTTGAAGACATTTTTTAAGACACAGAAAGCTACTGTTTCAATATCAATTTGGAACATTTTACATCATCTTCCTTGAGTGCTTTCAATTCTTCACAATCAGGGGTGTCCGACTTGCAGCCTGCGGGCCACACGCAGCTCAGGATGACTGTGAATGCAGCCCAACACAAAACTGTAAATTTACTTAAAACATGAGGTTTTTTCTGTGATTACATGTCACAATGTATTTAAAGTGTGGCCCAAGACAACTCTTCTTCCAGGATGGCCCAGAGACGCCAAAGGGTTGAACACTCCTGCTTGACCCATACGCTCCCACCCACTGTATATGCCAGTAGCAGTCTCCCCTCCCCACAGCAACGACCAAAAATACCTTCAAAACAGTCAAATGTCCCCCATCCCTAGAGGGGAGGGGCAGTATTGTCTCAGTTGCAAAATCAATGACTTATTCAATGATGTTTCTGGGGACATAAGAATGCGCAAGAATCTGAGGTAGGCAATACCTCCCTGTGGTTTTGATTTACATTTCCCTTATAACTAGTGATGTTGAACATCACTTCACGTGCCCACTGGCCATCTGTATGTCTTCTGTGGAGAAATGGCTCTTCAGATCCTCTGCCCATTTTTCAACTGGGTCATTTGTTTTTGTGTTGAGTTGTACTAGTTATTTATATACTTTGGATGTTAACCCTTATAAAAATATATTTAAAAATCCAATAATTAAACTTAAAAAATTTTTAATGTTTTACTGATTTTTTTAGACAAAGAGGAAGGAGGCAGGGAGTGAGAGAGCGAAAGAGAGAGAAACATCAACTGGTCCCCTCACATATGTGCCCCAATTGGGGATTGAACCCTTCACCTTTTGGGATACAGGATGACACTCCAACCAAGCCACACTGGTCAGAGCTAAAATGTTTTTGGATTAATGAAAGATAACCCATTCACTAATTAAATCTAAAAATCTTTAATTTTTGTATACCTTATAAGAAAGAACCACAGTGGAGATTTTTTAGTAAATTGCAATGCAATCTGTTCATGGACATGATGTGTGTGTGTATACATGAATGTTCTATTTTTAAGCATTTTGTGATATATAAATCTATGCAGTATAACACTTTAATTGATGACTGTTGGTTGCTTAATTTTTCACTGAAAAGACTAAAATCAAAACCACTGAATTTATACTTTACAACCTGAAAGAATCAAGAACAGCTATAATTCTAAAGTAGCCTCAATAAAGCAAATGTCATTCTTATTAGTACTAAGGGACTATATTGAAACCAGGTAAAATATAAATATCTTATTTTGTACTTAATTTGAAGTGTTACCCCTGAAATCAATTACAGATATTTACTCTGAAAGAGGCTACTGTGAAGACTGCAGACTCAAATACTGATAATGGTTATTTGAAATTCAACTCATGGAATACCTAGAATATAGGTTGAAGTGGAACTTGTCAGTATAATATTCATTGGCAACAATTTTTTTAAAGACACAAGAATGCTATTGTTTTAATATAAACCAGGAGTTTTAAAATCATCTCTAGTGCTTTCAACTGTCACATGGCCATGAACCAAAGACCCAAATAATTTCAAATGATCAGATACATTTTAGGCAACAATTCTCATGCATCAGTACTTTTAATATCGTACACATACAACTGTAGTAAAAAGGCGATATAAACACGATGCAGCCCCTCCATTTCCACGGTCAGCTCACTGCATTACAGCAAACCTAGTTTATACTCCACCATCAAGTGTGGTTCTCCCATTAGTTCACTTTGTGATGGGTCTGAAAACAAACAGAGACACACATCAAAGATTCTTTAAAAAAAAAATCTTTTTGGCTCCCCAGACGACTCTAGGAACAAGCTCTAATGAAGAGATGAGGCACTATCTTAATCTAAACAGCAAAAATGTTTCATCTCTAGTGTTTTGGGTTCTGTTGAATATACGAACATACACACAGGCCTAAATCAGAATTCTAGAGCAAGAAAACCTTGACAATCTTCACTCTCTTGTTTTTATGGATGAATCAGACAAAAACTTTAACTGTGATAACACACCTAAAAGAGCTTTTAAAATTAATACCAAGGGTGAGCTTCCTAGAAACAAATAAAGTGTATTTTCTTTTCTTTTGCCTCCTACTGAACATAGGACTGGAAACACAATAAAAAACAAGAACTAAGCTGTAAAATCAGTTTGTAAAAAGACATATCTATTCGCATTAAAATAACAATTACCAAGAGTAACTGATCAATCTGGATGTTCCTCACTGAGTCTCCTAAGAGACTGGAGGCTACTGTATCAGTTCGGCAGTCTGTACTCTCCCCACTTTCGCACAATAAAGGGGCCTTAGCAACAGCTGACACTGCCACAGTTACTAATAAACTGCTATGTATATAACACACATTCAAAATCTACACTTAAACATCTACACACGAGTAGACAGAACAGGCAAAGATGTTTGCCACAGCCCTGTTTTGTGTTAATAAGTGAGGAAAATGCAAGCATCCATCAGTAAATATACTGATGTATCATGCACACTGTAAGATACACAGTATGATACCAATGTGTTAAAGAAATAAACACTAAACAACGACAAATATTTTCTGACTGTACACATTTGTAGGAAGGCACACAGGACACACAGTAATGACAGCAGGTAACGAGGGAAAGAAATGGTCTGGGGGTAATCATGGAGTACCTCAGTTTGGGCTGCATTTTAAATTTTTAAGCAAAGAGTATATATTCATTCAGATAACAATTTCTTTTAAACTCTGCTGTTTTAAACTCTGGACTTTAATAAAATATGTACTTGCTCAATAAATCACTTGCCCCAGAAAACAGCAAACCATGTAAGCAAGGCACTGGCCCATGGTTCCAGCACCTGCTGTGTCAAGAAGCCACTGTGAGACTCCGGGGAAGGCCCGAGCCTCTGGCTCATTCTGTTACTCTTCTTAAAGTGAAAGATTGCACTGAATAGAAGGCCCCTTTCAGCAAGCAGTAAGAGTTTATTTTTTATTTTACTAGTGCCCTCCTCACATACCCCTCCCTTCCTTGTAAAATGTACAGACTGTTCTTGGCCAAGCACTTTACAGACAAGTGAGCAGAACCCCCATCCCCTCCAACACATTACAAAACATAAACTGGAGAAATATACAGGTTTCCATCACAGTTTAACAGTCCTCAGAGTTCAGATGCACAAACAACTCCTTCATTACAGACATAAAAATTCCTCTCTGGTCAAAGATGATGAGGGAGAAATGCGAGGAGCAGGAACTTTCGACACTTAGCAGAGATGGAGCGCTACATGAGGCAACAGGGACACAACAGCTACAAAGACAAAGTCTCAAGATCTCACAATGTTTGCATTTAAGTTGAAACAAGAAATAAGAAAGAAGAAAAGTACCAGATAATTGTTATGCAAAGAATTAAAGTGAGCTGACAAAGTGAATGAGGACTACTTTAGACTGGGTAGTAAAGGAAGACCTCTCCAAAACAGTGCTATTTAAACTGGGATCTGAAAACGAGGGGGGAATATTCTAAGCAGGATGAACAGCGAAGGCGAGGTCCTTGTGTGAAGGCATAAACTGCCATTATGTTATGTAGCCACAGTTCCCACAAAGGGGAGATAACCCCAAGTGCCACGCAGTGGTCCACAGAGGCAAAAATCCTACAAAAATCCCCGACAAAGATCACCTACGTAATCAGTGGATCTTTCCAGCTCATATCTACCTTAGAGCAATGCAAGGAACGAATAAAAAAAGATGTCCCCAAGATAGTGAACTGTTCAAAAGTGAAATTATATTACATCACTACTTAAAACCGTTCAATGGCTTTCCATTGCATTCTGAATAAACTTCTACAAAGCTCTGGCTCCTCCTCGCTTTCCAACCTCACCTTAGTCCACTCTCCACTTTTCTCAAAATACTCCAGCCACATGGACCTTCTTAACACATCCCTGTGTTGGGAGACAATTCTCTCTATGGGTCTCTCATGATTCGTAAGTCCTGAACACAACTGCACTGCTTGCCTTTGTTCTAGACTCTTTTTCAAAGCCAGCATCAGAAGACAAAGCTTGTGTCTCCCCTACAGCACAGACCAGGCAGGCTGACTGCCTATTACAAAGATTCAGGTTCCTTGACCAGGGGTGGGGTTCTTCTTCCTGTAACAAAATACGGGATATATGCAGGCATCAAATGACCCTCTTCTTGCTGCCTGTGGGACCTGGGGCTCTGGAAACCAACAGAAAAGCCGAGAAACTGGCTACTGCTATTGCTGTAATAAACTGTCCTTCATCTCTAGGAGTTTTGTCTTCTGTCAGTATGCACGAAACCATAACAGGCTAACTCACTAGCTTGTGAGTAGGATAAGCACCCGAAACCCTTCAGAGTACGCAGCTGTTCTCAGGTAGGTGACACTGAACACACAGGTTCTTCTCCCTGACAGATTCTTCTCTACCTTAGGTCAACTAGCTCGAGTATCTTTCAAGACTCAACTTACGTGTCATAGTCCCAAAGGTCCTGCCTCTTCTACCCAACAACAAACTCTACCCCTAACCTTTTTTATTCCTAGAAGGTAATCCCAATTTACAGTTTTCCTATTTTATCTGTTTAATGTGTATCTACACCATTAGAAAGCAGATGCTTGTTTTCTCACTACTGCATATTCAGAGCTAGCCAAGAGCCTGACACACAGTATCTGACTGAATAAATGCTAAGTTCCACTCCCTTTTTTACACACAACCACAGCTGATTTTTAAATGAATGCATTTTTAAAACTAATTAAAAGATACGGATACACAGACTGGAACTATCACCTTACTAATTTTAAATGAGTAAGTTCAATGTCAAAGCTAAGGAATTCCAGGTTTTCCTGCATTCAAAATGCATTCAAAAAGCTCCCTCAGGGAAGATTCTCAAAGAGGAGGCTCACTAGACTTCTGTTGTGGCCACAGCATTTCCTTACCGGACATCAGCAGCCAAGCAAAACTAATATAATTTAGTCCTGTTGGGTTCTGTGTTTCTCCTGAATTGCTGAGGCATAATGGGCAGAGGCAATAGCAAACAAAATTATATTTGTTTATCTTCCTCAGGACCATAAAAAAATAGAGGATGCTATTACTATTAATAGAGGATGCATGTATTGTTCTTACTTAAAAGTCATGTTATCTTGTACATAATACAATTATTCAGGGAATGTTGTTAAGAATGACAGGCTCTTTCTTCCTACTCGCCATCGACAGAGGCACAGTAATTATTTGAGGGAAGGCAGATATTTTTTAAAGAATACTTTTATCTTATTTTTTTAGTTGTTTTAAAAACTAGTCATATCCCACAAATGTTGTGAACACTGAAACAACAATCATTGTTTAAATTGTTGTAAGTATACTGTATTAGACTCACATATCGGACTTTATCCTCAGGGCATGAAATGAATAATAGGACTGTAACCTCAGAACACCACAAAAATTTCTTTCACTTTTAAAACCAGTTAAAAAACTGTTATTACCGTTAATTTTTATCTTAAAACAAGTGAGACTGATCAGCAGTCAAGCCTCATGAGGAGGAGGATGCTGCCGGTTTTGTTTGCTGCTGTTGCCTGTTACACTACTGAGGTTCCAGAGTAAAGTTCAAGATACTCACCATTAAGAATATCCTCAAATCCAATAGTTTCGTCATTACCCCTCAAAATATCCAGTGAAAGGTTTGAGCTTGGAAGAAATGGAAGACGCTGAACCTTTGGAAAAAGTATGAAAGGGCAAAATTAGGGAAAAAAAGGGGAAAAGATGTACAATCTAGTATCATATTCTTCATTCTTTATTTGTAAAATTCACAAAACTAAATGTCAATTTAACCAGTGGGGAGAAAAGAAACTTTATATTTTAGACCCAAACCAAGTCTGTAAAAATTCCTCAAATGTTTACTTAAACTATGTAAAGACACTGAAACTGTGCTTTTATTAACACTTAATAATCCTATCGGGTTTATACATATTTGGGGGCTTTGCTTCCACCCAGAAAAACCAAGCACAAACAATCTGATAAAATGCAAAATCCCAAGAGCCTAACACTATGTCTGATTTCTAATAAATAAATGTGAGACGTTCAAATCCCTGAAGAAATTCCAACTCAGTGAGACCATTATTCTACTTAGTGAACTGAATACTTCATTTTGTATGTTGTTTCGTATTGCTCATAGTACCAAGGCAAGTTATGACATTTTCAAACAGTAGCGATAAGCAGAAAATAAAGATCAAACTCATATGCAGGGTGTATTTAAAAAAACATAATACCATTTTGCACAAGTATTACCTACTTCTTTCCAAGTATTAGGTAAGCATACCACAGACTGGTAGCTACATACAGTGGAGAAAGCACAGGATGGGGTCAGAGAGACCTGGATTCCAGTTTTGATTCTACTACTCAACAATCCTAGGGTTCTGCATAAGTTTCCTCACCTGTCTCACCCTCGGTTTCCTCAGCTGGGAAACAGGATCACACCACCTCCCTCTCAACCCTGTAGTAGAGTGTGGTGTAAAGTATGTATACAGTAGAGTTACTGGCACATACTTGGTTCTCAACAAACTTTAATGTAGTTTTTCTGTCCTTGGTTACTTGTCTGGCAGTTATAATTTGAATCGATGCAGACAATTTTGGATATTGCCAAAAAATGCCAAGAGTAATAGGTGGTCAGTGACTAAATGATCCTAGTATTTTAAAGTAACCATAGTTTTAGAATCTAAGGAAGCAGTTAAGATCCCCCCCCCCACAAGGAAATGTATGTAGACTAAAAGTATTTTTAATCACTAATGGCCTATAGAGTTACTCAAATCTTTGTGGCATGAAAAAAACTTCTCTAGGTTGTCAAAACCAGAAAAGAAAAAAAAAGTGGCCCAGGGTGGGGGGTGGTATATGGAAAGAGAAAGGAGCCTGAAAATTACAGTGGACAGTCAGGGGCATGGCAGACACGGTCTGACCAGAGACAGAGCCCTGAGAAAGCCTCAAAGGCAGGGACGAGCAGGCAGTGGTTATACATCCTCATGAGCAAGAACTGCAATAATATACGAATCAGAAAAAAAGGGCCAGAATTCTACATGAAGATTTTTGAATTGCAGGGGATTACAACCTTAGGTCTAAAATATAAACAACGTGTAACTGGAATCTGAATAACAGGAGCATAAAAAGGGAAGCTAACAATTTTGTATAAAAGTACGTATTTCATTTAACTACAGAATAATCCTAATAACCCCACACCATTCTCACTGCTACCTCCATTGCACATTAAAATCAAACACTACGGCTCAGAAAGATTTCTAACATATTTAAATTAAGACCAGTAGTGAAGCTGAGATTCACAGTCAGGTCATTCTGACATAAAGCCATGCACGCTCTTTTTGGGCTTTATCCTTGGAAAGAAGTTCTAAAACAGCTTCCAGAATGACTGAGTGATGGCATTAATAGAATTTATTTAAAAAGACACAGTTTTAGCCAGGTGAGAGAAAGAATTCACAGTAGCGGGAAGAACATGTGCAAAAGCCAAAAAGAGAGAGAGGAAAATTAGGACACTACAAGTAGCCGCGGAAGCAATGGAGCATGGTGAAGAGCAAGAAGGCAATTCATGACCAGGGCCATGTTAAGGACGTGGGATTTACTTCGAGGGCAAAGTGAGGGGACTGACATGATCCAGTCTGCTTTACAAAGATTACTCTGGCTAGAGTGTGTACTATGGAGTGGCAGGCAGCAGGGGTGGGTGCTGCAGTAATGCGGATGATGCACAGTTGGGGTCAGGACCCAGGTAGTCACAATGGTAAAAAGAGGTGACTGGATGCTGGAGGGTTGTGGGTGGGGGGTGAGGTGCTAGATGTGATACCAAGGCTAACGTTCCAATTTCTGCCTTAGGAAAAACTCTGTTCATACATGACTGGAGTATGTAAGACAATGAGTTAGTCTGTACTTGGGTGAAACGTGAAGTGCCTGCAGGACTCCACGTTGGAGAAGCTTAGAGGTTTACAGGTCAATGATAACTAAAGTCATAGAAATAGAAAGAGGATGAAGAGAGATCAGAAATGGGTATTTACTATCAAAACTGGTATCTAGTATTTCAGAGAACCAAAACAAAAAAGAAAAAGAAGAAAGGAAAGAAACCTACACAGCTGAGAATGAGGCTTCAGAGAGGAGAGGAGAATCAGGAAAGTGCCCTAAAAGCCAAGGGAAGAAAGCAGGCATCATGAGTGTTACGTACCACAGGGAAATGAGCAAAATGAAGGTACTATGATGTCCACTGCTCAGGGGCAGTTGTGGTGGCATGACAGTAGCCAGAGAACCATGGGTTGAAGGAGGTAAAGAAGTGTATGTAGCAAATGTTGGCGACTTTTTTCAGTTGAGACATGCAAAGACACTTAGTGAGAAAGGAGTTGCTATAAAGGAATTTGAGGTTAAATTAATTTTTGCTCTGTAGAGGTTCCAATATAAACAAGTGCTGCTGAGTCTCAGCAAGTAGGGAGAGAGGTGGAAGACATCAGCTACAGAAAGGATTCATGAAAAGAGGGTCTCTGAAGTACTGTAATGTGTCAAATCCAGTACATGGGTAGGGGACAGTTCTTCCATTCTTGGAAAGACATTTCTAAAGATCTTATTCCTGAGCAATATCTACAAACTGCCTACCTCACAGTTACACTTGGATAGACCCACAAGCATCTCAAATTCAATGAAATCCTCCAAAAGAAGAAACATAAAAGTGGACATTGGTAAGTTTTCAGACACTCAGCCCATAAATTTGAAGAAATATTCCATTTAATGGCTTCTTTTTTCCCTTTATAATGAGTTGGCCAAAAAGTTTGGTTTTTCCTACACTATGGCTGTAGTAGTGCCTAGTCATCTTTAACTTCATCTAAAACAATTTTGTTAAGACTGTATTGTGACAGTCAGATAAGCATGCATTTGAAAAAATTATAAAAATTCGTGAATTTTTGTGCGGCTATTTAATATTGAAGATGGAAGAAAATATACAACATTTTTGGCATATTATGCTTTATTATTTCAAGAAAGGTAAAAGTGCAACTGAAATGCACAAAAAAAAAAGATTTGTGCAGTATGTACAGAAGGCACTGTGACTGATTGAATGTGTCAAAAGTGGTTAACAAAGTTTCTTGGTACTACTGACAATTTGGCCAAATAATTCTTCGCTCTGGGACTGTCTTACACATTGGAACATGTTTAGCAGCACCCATGGCCTCAACGCACTAGAAGTCAATAGCCCGCGGGACAGTCGACACACTCAAAATATCCTAATCAATAAAGTTAGTGGCAAAAATAAAAAATGTGTCTTTTATTTTACGGAAAAAAACTAAACAGACTTTTTGGCCAACCCAATAAAATAGGAATCGAGGTCATATCCTAAAGAGGGGAAAGTAGAATAGGTTGTAGGGGAGAAGGTCAGGTTTGTACAGCTGTTATTAAATAGAACAATCATTCCAATTGGCAGCAACACACATGTGAGATGCACATATAACTGCCTACCGTACTCACCTGTTGCACTGCCTTGAATTCCATTTGCAATTTTAGTGGAGCACACAGACCCTGGATGTTTCTCAGTGTGGAAAAATTCATTTTATCTTGGTTGAGCTGGAACTACAAGGCAATAATGTAATTTTAGATGCTTTACTCAACATTCTGTATTCAAAACAGTTAGCAATGATACACATGTAACATAATACTTAAATGCAGAATTTTAACATCCATAACTGAAATAAAAACAAAGTACTTGTACAAATTTCTTCAACAAATTTTTGGATGTGTATGTGTATATTTTATCCAGCATGTAGGTACCCTTCGCCAGTGTAAAATCATCACCTAAAGTTTGGATTTACAGAACTAATAAATTAAGGGACATTTTCACATTGCAAACGTACATTCACAAAGCAGTCACATTTCACACTTCTGATTATAATCATAGCAAAACTCGTAGAGCAAAGAAAAGGTACAAATGAGACCCCAAAACAGTTACATACAGCAAGAAAAACAGTGAATTTCTAAGTACAAAAGTGTGTATCAAGATTTCAGAAATAATCAGATCCATTTTACCTCCTTCTTAATTAAACTACAATGTTTAAGCTCCAAAACTCTGAACAAGCTGTACTTTTTTCTGAAATCATATTTTTACTACTTCTAAAAAACCTTTATCACAATGTGATGTATTTCAGGCAAAATGAATCAACTTGACTCATGGATTCTAAAACATACAGTTTCCCAAAAGGGCTCTTAAGAATAGTGTAACAAACAGACTGCTACATATATCTATCTGAGCTCAATGAGGTAAAATGACTTCTGTGATTTTTTATTACACTACACTCTTCATAAGTTTTTTTTAAAATCATCAATAACAAAGGGTAACTGATCAAAAATCTATTGAGAGATTAGTACCCACTTGGGGCATGATCTGGGGGCCATACATACGTAAGAAGTATGAAAATAAGACATCTAGCAATATCGTTTTTAATTACTTTAGCTTAACAGCAAAATTCTGACAAATGGTCCAAATTTGGTGCACATTAAGAGAAAATCTGCAATATTTTCTTGTGAGTATATGACCTGAAGTTCTAATTGAAATGAAGGGTTTCCTTTAATATTGAGTTATCCTCATAACTAAATAGAATTTTATGTAGATGCAATTTATAGACTTTGATAAATATACCCACCTTGTAATGTGATATCAAACTGCAATTACCAATCAACATATGCCTAATTATTAGCAACATACACAAAATTAGAATTAGGCCCTGCGGCAACAAAACAGAAGAAGAGTCCATCCTGGAGACAGACTGTATATACGTTATATATGTCGTTGGGAAGACATCACACACAGGTCAGGGCTTCTCAACCCTTGACACTATTGGCATCTTAGTCCAGATAATTCTTCACTGTAGCGGGTGTAAAATGTCCTGTGCACTGCAAGACGGTTAGCAGCATGCCAGATGCCAGTACCAAAAAATCTTCCCTTCCCCCAGACACCACTTTTGACAACCAGATATTACCAAATGTCCCCAGGGATAAGGAGGGGAATCATCTACAGTTTGAGAACCACTGGAATAAATGGCAGTCATCTTCTTCACTATCATCACTGCAGCTCCAATCCTGGAGAGCTACTGTAAGCCTGCATGTGCTGAGGGGCAGGCTATTTCTAACTCTTTACTGATGAGGAAACCAAGGTTTATAGAGAGATTAAGACACTTGCCCAAGTTTATTTAGCTATGAAGTAGATAGCACTAAGAATTTAAACCTCCAAATACTGTAGCTCAATTACACAGCCAATACTAAAGGAGTTATAATAGACAACAAGTACCACAGAATTGCAGGGGAGAGACTGCCACGAGCTGGGTAAGTGATTAAGACAACACAGAGGCAGTAGATGTAAGCTGAGTGTCAAAAGATCTATGAAGTTTTTAGACTCTGCACCATTTTGGCCAGTCTTACTCAGGTTTGTCAAAGTTTCTCTTACCGTGTATTGCTCAGAACTAAACCAATATTCCGTATCAAACGACTAAATTAATACTTAGGAAGATCAAGGGTATAATCATCCTTGATGTGAACACCACCTTATTATTAACAGGGTCCAAGATTCACATTGTCCGAAGTGTTTTTTTGATTTCTGGCCTGATCCTTTGATCTATTTTGTCATTTGTGATGCAGTTTACTTATTCGTTAAAATAAGCTATTCTTATCAGTTTTTTCTTCCATAAACCTAATTTACATGCCTTCTCTGGTTAACCTTATATTTGAAAAATATTTAACCTCCCTAAGTCAACTTCTGAGCATGAAACCAGAATGCACTCAAATAACTAGGAGCCCTTATATTTTCTCATCTCATCTGAACTTTAATTTCACTATCCCACTATTTGTTCTATTTTTTCTTATACAAAGATCTTTCCCCTTGCTAAAGAAGGAAGAAAAAAAATGGAATAGGTTAAATCTCTGGGTAATAGTACATCATCTTCCCCAAGTAATAAATCTTTCTTCTTGCTCTGAAAGTATATTTAAAAACCTATATTGTCTAAAGAATATCTGTACAGGCTATACTCTGTTTGGTAATGACCGTTCCCCATCTACTTACCTGGAGAACATTGGTCTAAAACTATTCAAATGCCCCTCCTCTATAAAGCTTTCTGTAGTCCTGAAGCACAGGTAGTTGGTCCATCTTCGGCCCTCTAAGCATATTATGAAGCCCCTATCCACTGCTTGTCCTCCTGTTAAATTTTCAGCCCCTTAAGGTTGGGGATTATGTCCTATTCATCTGTGTACCCACTGTGCCTAGAAGTGAGTGTGTCCCTCTGTAACATGGAGAAGCAAGGCTTGAGAAGAAGGTCAAGGCTAGAGATAGGGATTAAGAGATTTCAACAAGAAAATGGCAGGAGAAAAATATAAAAGAAAAAGGGATCATAAAATGAAAAAATATTATGAGAGGAATGAAGAGGTGGACTGACCTTTAGAAATATCCCTTAAAAAGACAAGAAGAATGTGCAGAAAGAGAACTTTAGTGAAGCAATATAATAATTCAAAAACTACTGTACAAGGATATTGAAAATAAGGCCTTATATTCTCCATGGTTAAATGCTCTACACCAAAAATATATTTTTATTATTTTTTAAAGATTATTCACTTATTTTTTAGAGAGAGGGGAAGGGAAGGAGGAGGAGAGGGAAGAAACATCCATGCGTAAGAGGAACATCCATCAGCGGCCTCTCACACACCCCCAGCTGGGGACCTGGCCGGAGCCCCCATGAGGAATCCAATTGGCGACCCTTTGGTCCTTTGGTTTGCAGAACAACACTGGACCCACTGAGCCACACCAGTCAGGGCCAGAATTATCTTAATAAATGAAACCACAAATGTCTTATCAACAGTATTTTTCTACTGAAGGACAAAAATATACTGTTAAGACACTTACATTTTTTTCTGATAATTCAAGAGGATGACTGGGCAAAAGTTCATTTTTCACACAAGTAAAACTGAAAATAAACATTTAAAACAGAGATTACATATCACAATACTTAAAGCTCAAAATTACGTCTATCAAAAGTATAACTACAATGGAATGGCACGAGGGAGTTTTTTGGGGATGATGACACTTCTGTATCCTGATGGGAAATGATACATGTATTAAAATTCAAGTAACTACCCACCAAAAGGAAAAAGAAGCCACATTTTAAAAAGATAAATTTACTATATGCTGTTTTAAAATTCATCTATTACAGATACTGGTGGTCAAGACTTCAATTCACTAGAGAGATCCCTCTAAAAAATGGAGTTAAGTAACGCCTGATATCCAGAAGAAATTTAATAAAGTATGTTTATTACTATTATTCTATGACACGCTTTTGTATTATATAAAATATCTAAGCCTCTTCTGCTCAGGTCTAATGTGTATTCAATATTTAATGCATCTCTAATAGACAAATGTTGAACAATGTTTGACATTCACTGAACACAAGTACTACATACAAAGTGCTATGTCAGGTGACACACAACTAGAACCAGGCCACTCACCTTTATTACACTAGTTTTATAAAGATGAATATCTTATTGTCCAAAACAGGATTTGAGAGCTGACAGAAACCTTAGAAATCACACAATAATAATTTACTGAGTAATTTCTTTGTAGAAAACATTACCCTAAAAATGGGATTTTAAAATGGACCTGTTCATGGCAATCTTAGACTAACCAGAAAGAAAGGTGCATTTCATGAGAAAATAAATAAATAACAAATCATCAGGACTTGGTGACTGGCTATCTTATGAATTCGATTATACAATAAATCAAATTGTATCTCCAATTCCAAAGTTATATGCTGCATCGATTATACAATAAATCAAATTGTATCTCCAATTCCAAAGTTATATGCTGCACCCTTTAAATGGAAAGATAATAATGAGGCATTATGTCTGTAACATAATGCCATTCTATTATAGTACAACCTGAATACCTTAAAATTAGATATAAAATTCAAAACACAGAATTCAGAACACAGTGGGGGAGGCATTATTCTTATTTGATTAAGCAAAAAAAGAACCTGCCAAGAAAAAGAACTAGTACCAAAAACTGAAACCGTAACACATAGAAGCATGAAGAATATTGAAGGAAGGACTGTAACCGTGTGCTAAAGCTAGAAAAGAAAGATAATAGCAGCTAGCACTTATTGAGTGCTTACTAATGTCAGGTACTATGCTAAGTATTTCTCATGTATTACTCATTTATTTCTCAAAATAATACACACATACACTATTAATAGTCTTATTTTACAAATGAGGATAATAAGAAGTAGAGCAATTCAGTAACTTGCCCAAAGGCATATATCTAGCAAACAGCACAGTCAGGGTCAAAATCCAGGCAGCATGAGTCCAGAGTCCATGCTCTTAGTTGCTATGTTCCCGCATCCCCTCCCACAAAGTGAATCTGTCCAACTGTTACTGAGTTAATAAAATGGCTCTCCAAGTTATCAATAGTAAAGTTAAGAATCCAACCAACTCATGGTACTGTGTAACATCTCCTAGGAAGATGTCCCATAATAGAAACCTACTACTCTGATAAAGCACTGTTTGGGCTATAGAAAACATCTAAGCCTCTGCTCATCTCCTCTCCCAAGTCAAGGGGTATCGCTTGCTAACTCTGAAATGAAATATATATATTTAGGACCCAGCAAAATATTTAAAGAATATTGTGAAAAATAATTCCCAGAAACAGCTTATTATAACAAAGTCAAAGTCACAACTCCCCCATATACCCTTTTCGAAGAAGATCATGACTTTCAAAAGGTCCACTTGCTGAAAGTTCCGTAACTGGAATACTGTCCTTTAGCTGAGATCCAAGTCCTCTGGTATTCTACAACACAAATAAAGAACACTATTAAATACAAAAAAAAATTTTTTTAACCAACCATGTTAAACATCTATGTAGAGATCATGGTTTAATCACTAGAGAAAAAAAATTAACATCTCTGCCCTCAAAGAGCCCAGTCTAGAACATCACAATAAGCCTTACTTAGCATTATGCTAGAGGGATACACATGGTACAGTTAATAACATCAAATTTGGAGGTAGAAAGGATTCCTGAGTCATTTCTGAATGTTGTTAGATTGAAAGGCATTCCAGGAAAAAAACATAACAGAAGTAACAGTATAAAAATATAAATGATCAAGTAAGTAAAGCATGATCAAGCTAAGTAAAGGATGGCAAAATGAAAAAGCTTAAACATGCAAAGAAACTCACTTTTATTCTGGAATTGACAAAGAGCCTCTAGGCTACCACAGACTTCATGGAAGATCCCTCCCATAGAATATTAGCACCAGAAAAAAAAATCTTGGGGAATATCATTCCTTCAGGACAATGCTGAAGCATAAGGAAATGGGATTAAGAATTGACAGAATAGCTAGAAGAGAGTGATCATAGAAGCTGAAAAAAGGGATGGAGAGCAGAATTTCATAAAGTGGTTTTTGTAAGAGGGTACTACTTATAAAAAATAATTGTCTAATCAGGATAGTGTCAAACAAAAACAAAGACAGTGCATTTGGTATGAGTACATCGTCACCCCATGCATTATACAGTAAAACATTTAATCATCGGATACTTATTACTCATCTACTATGTGGCAGATACTCTGGTAGATGCAAAAGATACTTGCCTACCTTCCAGAGCTTAGTATGATGAAGCTACAGTAGACAAGCAAATAAAATGTAATAAATGTTACAACAGGTAAAAAACAAGATGCTTACTTGAAATCACTAGCTGCTCAAGTTCAATATCCCTGCAATTCTGCAGAAAGATGTTAAACAGTACAGGTGGTTTGGTATCAGTTTTATACTGTTCTAGGAGGAACTAGTCTGAGAAACCAGCCTTTTTACTGATTTCAAAAATCATTTGGGTATTTTATTCCGTCGGGTATTTTATCTTGTCCAAGATTTCTTCAACCTACCACCCTAGTCCAGCCTCACCCACCTGGATAATTTCCACAGTACTCTACTGGGTCCTACTACCTACACACTCTCCCATTTTCCGATTCTGCATATCCAAGTTTTCCTAAAAAAAATACAATCTCCCCAACAAACACTTAAATATCCACCACAAAAGAAAACTTTCACTGGTTCATCAGTGTCTTGGCTGCAGAATGAAGTCAAAGGTCTTTTGCCTGGAACTCAAGAACCTGCACAACAGGTTTCAACCTCCCCCCCCCCACCCCCGCACACAAATCATGACCAATCAGGAAAAGGAATCTAGTGTGGACGGTCACTAACCCACTATGTGGCTGTAATCAACACATACAGCCTCTCTGGCTCTGTTTACTCCTCTTCCAGGTATCTTTCCAAATGTGTATCCTGTTACTTTCTGCACTAACATCCTCCTCCCAGATTGCTTCATTGTAAAGTACAGAAGGAAAGTCTCTTCTATGCACAAAGGAACAGGGAATTCTGGTAAGTTTTACTGTAATCACATCCCCAATTACCTTCTGTAAAATGCCAGGATTCGTACTTGACATTTCTAATGAAGTAGCAGAGGTAAAGAAATCTATTAAAATTATCACGAGTTACACTTGAGAATGTTTATACACCCTCTTTACAATGACCCAAATGAACTTCCAGACGGCCTAGCAGCAGTACTGGCATCAGAGGCTAGTGATTCGGGAGTCTTTCCCAAAAGTCGCAGCTTTTAAGTTAAAAAGAGATAACGAGAAAGGGGGGAAGGGCGAAGATGATGCCCTAACGACGCCGACAAACGGGAAGAAGCAGAAGTCTGGTGTTTTCCCCTCCAACACCTAGCATGACACAAGCTTCCAGAAACGTTTGTAGAGTAAAACTAAATTATAATTATGCGACCTGTGGTGGGTTTGTTATGAAGTCAGTTCCGAGGGTCAGGGGTGGGCGAATTGGAGGACCGGCTCCCAAAGGTTCTCCCTTCAGGGGAAGGACAGTCAGCAACGCCTCACTACAGAAGGTTGCACTTTCGCCTACGTCCTTCCCAGTTCCGCGCCAACCTTAAGGGAGAGGTCGGGGTCTGTTGTGGGGACGGGACGGGAGGGCACAAACCGAAATAACAGAACTAACATGGAAAAGAATGAATCGCAAGCGCAGCCTTCGGGAATCCCAAGCGAGGCACGAGAGCCCCGCCCGCGAGACTGCCGCGAGCTCCCAACACCGTGACTCGACACATCCTGGCGCCTGAGGCCGGCTTCATCCTCCCGCTATCGCCGCCGCCACCGGAGACCGGCTGGGAGGCGGCGGCCCAGTCCTGCCCTGCCACGGTCCCCAACACGCTGAGAACTCGAGTCGCCAAAGGATCACTCACCATCTTCGGCTTGCTCTGTAAACGGCCTCTAAGCAACCTTACGGTCAGCCCGCCACTCACTTCCGTTTCCGAGGCTTTCCCCCCCCACATCCGCCGGAAGTGCGTCCGTCCCAGCAAGGAAGGAAAGAGGGCGCGGGGCCTCTGTCGGGAGCGGCGCGGGGCAGGAGCTCCCACGCCTGCAGTCGTGGGGGACCTGGGGCCAAGGGCGACGCCAGGGTGTGGGCTGGGAGGAGGGTGAGTTGGAATGACCTGTGTCCCGGAGAGTGAAGACGCGGACCTCCGCTCTGGTAGCAAATGCACGAAGATGTGCGATGTGCTCAGCCGAATGCATCGCCCTTGTTAATACAAGAGCTCTTTTGGGTAGAGAGTATATATTTTATTAAAGTAAACGAGGCCTAGATGGGGTGCGTGATTGGCCTGCAATTGTTCAACCAGTGAGGCAAAACTAGAACACAAGGCTTTTTAAGTGATTTATTTTTTTTAAATCATACGTCGAAGGCGTGCTATGTTTCACCCAGTGTGAGGCTAACGAAATAAACGAACCAGGCTAATAATGGTTCCTGGACTAGAGAAGCAGAGGTCTGTTGGGGATTGGAAAGGTGATATTGAGTATAATAATTGGCACACATATTGGACTCCCACTGTAACACAGTAGTAAGTGCTTTACAAGAACTATTTTCTTAAATCCCTTCAGTAATCTTATGAAGTAGGTAGTACTGTAACTTCAGTTTTACAGGTAAGGAAAGCAAGACCTAAAAGAGGTTTTAAAAGAAGTGCCCAAAGACCCATAATCCGTTGTCATACTACTGTACTGAATTGCCTAGCAAATACAATGCGTTAGGGTGGAATCATGCCCTGTAGCCATATAATGGAGCTAACTTAAGGAAGGAATCCTTGGGCTGATAACCAAAGGTTAGGAGTGAACTAGCTTGAAGTAGCAGAGTATATGAACGTGCAGATTTGCTTGTGCAAAAACCAAAATGGGAAAGAATGGATGCATGGCTAAAGTAAGGGAGAGAGTAGTGTGAATGAGGCTGTGAGAAGATGGAGGCAAGTTTATTGTGGGGGACCTTGTGCAGCAGGTTAAAGATGATGCTTTATCTTTAAAAAGCCGTGGAAGGATTTTAAGGAGGGAGGTGATAAGAGTTTCATATTTATATATACCCATTGCCATGGTCCTGCAGCCTTGAAGTTCTGGGGTTAACACTGATTTTAAGTATTGCACACTGCTGTCTTGTTTCTCTTCAGAATTGTCATGTTTACCTTGAGGTTTGAGTTTGAGTATTAGAATTGCATCTTTTTCCTTTCAATCAGTTCCATCTAAGGAGAAATTTTAAAACTGCAGCTTTTTAAAAAATTATTTAAGTGTTTGGTGATTGCTTACAATTCAGTCATTAAATATTTGGTGAGCATTTGATTGGTGCTAGAATCTGGAACTATGGGTAAGAAAGAGGCATTTCCCTCTCCTTGAGATGCTGTTTTTTTCCCCAGGAGAATAGACATGGGAACAGATATTTAAAATGCAGTGTAGTAAGTACTTAATGGAGAAAGGAGCTGGGCCAGGAAGTGGTTAGGAACAGGAAAAATGGCATTTGAGGAAAAGGAAATGTGGGAAGGCAGAGATGTGCAAAAAGGCATGTTGTAATCTGAACAATGAAGGGCCCTTGTGTGGTGTATTGAGGTTGGGGCTTTTTATTGTAGAAAACAGTAGATAATGGAAGTATTTTAAAAAACACTTGACTTTAGGAAATATTATTCTGGTGACAGTGTGAGGGATACACTGGAATCAGGAGAAACTAGGAGCCAGGATACCATTCAGAGTGTTGCAATAGTAAAAGCCAGAGATGATGAAGGTGTAAATTAAGGTAGCACAGTATATTGGAAAGACTTTGAGAAGCAGTGAAACACGGGCATGTCCTGAGAAATACTGGAATTCAAGAGGCAGCCAGAAGAAGGGTAGCCTGGCATGGAAATGAAAAACAAGTGGTCAGAGAGACTGAAAAGCAAATCCAAGTGCTCTGTTAGACTCCAAAGGGGAACAAAGTGCTAAGAGGTTGACAAGTAGTTCGAAAGAGAGGTTGTAGTTTAAAAAGATCATGAAGGCTTGAAAGTAGGCCTTTGGTGACCAACGTGAAGGCAGTTTTAGTGCAGCAAGGAGGAAATTCACCTTATTATGAGCAGTACAAACACCATATTTTTAAGGGGTTACAGTATTAACTAATACAAGACAGTGTTTAGTATGCTAAAATATTTTTAAAATTAAATTTGATGTTAGGTGGTTAGTTTGCATAAGTTGTATCTGTTAGTTTGGAGAATAGAATATTATTAAGAACAGTTAATATTTTCTATGTGTCAAGCCCTGTTCTTAGTTCTTACATACACTGATACATTGTTGCAGTTACTCTTTAATTACAGTTACTCATGAGGTAGGTATTACTACTATCCATCTTTTATATATTTTTAGAAGATTTTTATTTATTGGAGAAAGAGGAAGGGAGAGAGAAACATCAACTTGAGAAACATCCATTGGTTGCTTCTCGCAGGCCTCCAACCTGGCACCTGGCCTGCAACCCAGGCATGTGCTCTGACCAAGAATCGAACCAGCAACCTTTAGGTTTGTAGGCTGGCACTCAATCCACTGCGCCTCACCAGCCAGGGCTTTTGTTTTTAAAAACAGGCCTGTTGTGTGTGTTGTAGGGAAAAAAGCACACTTAAAAAAAACCCTTTTTGTTGTCTTCCTTGGCTTTACTCTTAAGCCTCTGACACAGTTATCTCTTGGATGCATGTAGTTGAACACAGAAGAAACGTCCATCCAGGTGCAGGCTGGTGGTGAAACGTGTGAGAGCAGGTGGATGACCACAGCCAGTCTGGCAGTGGCCGAGGTTGGTCATTAGGAGATGTAAAAGCTTGCTGAGCTGAAAAATTCTCATGGCTTTAGTTGAGGTCTCATCCCTCCAAAAGTGGAGAAAGAATGGTATAAAGCAGATGCATACATTTCCAAGAGGCAGTGGTTGAGTGATAATCAAGCAGTAATAGTGGGTAGCAAGAGGCTGTGCTGACATTGTCTTGCCCTGTGAGTCAGGGAAAGTGGGAAAAAAGCAACACCACTGCTCAAGCTCTCGAGAAAAGTGGTATTTATGAGAGCTAGGTGTCAGTTACAGCTGAGATGTGTAAAGAACTTGTGACAAAGTAAGAAATCCTGGGAAGGCTCATCGAATTAGACTACCAAAGTTTACTTGTGTGTCCTAGGGCCACAGTGGCAGGGGTTTGTGAAGGAAGGACAACTGAGTGGCAGGTTCAGGGGCTGAGCAGATAGAGCAGGGAACAGTAGCCGAGGAATGCATGAGTAGAGAAGTGTGGGAAAGAATGGATGAGAGGATAGTTGTGCCCAAGAGGCAAGACCAACTTAATATGGTTGAAAACTAGGCTACAGGTAGGTCTGGGCAATCCAAGGTAACATATTGGAGAAGTTTCAGAAGTACCCTCCTGGGTCTGGATCCCAACCCTGAAGCCCAGCACTGTAAGCCAAGGCCCTAATTCCTTGTCTGGTTCCAGTGATCTCTTTCCTCCATGGCTAGACAGCAGCTGGCATCCCACTCCAGTGCCTACAATTCTGACACCCACTAACATCAGGGAAATGTGAGTGTATGAGATCTGCTCAGCCCTCCCTTCCCCCTGCCAGCTACAAATTCTGGCCAGCCTGCATGGTCATTTTTCCTCGCAGTTTGAGGACAGCTCTTGGCCAGGTGGATTCTTTTGAGCTTTGAAAGCAGGATGGGAGGATTGGGAGAGGGTTGATGGCAATGGTTTTCCTCCAGAGTTTAGGGCAAGAGAAGCATAACAGCCCCATTGTCTGAGAGACATGAGAGGGGAAAATGATGTAATTAGTGTGAAAATTTATAAAACGTATTTTCAAGGTGCCTCGTAATCAGAATATTGTATGGCAGTATAAGTTTCAGAAATTGTGCTCACCTGCAAGGTTGGGGAAGGGAGTTCGTGTGAGGCGATGGTACAAGTCTTACCTAGCAAGAAAGTAACTGTGTTTCAGACAATCTCAAAAGAGTCTAAAATTTTAAAATAATACATCCAACTGTTCTTTAAACAGTCTAAATTCTTGTAATGCTGGAACAGGTTAAGTGTGATTAAGACAAATTATACTTATTCATCTTTCTTTGCAAGTCTCATTATAAGTGTTAAGGGATGGAGAAATATTTTACATCAAGTTTATTTGACAGACCCCTTTCTGCAACCCTAAGAGATGAATGTTTCGTATTTCTTTTGAATTCTTTGCTGACTATGATTTCAGATGAAGCTGCTTTTAAAAGAGTGTCCTCTGATTAAGCAGGTCTGGATTTTCAGAGTAACGAGTGGACTCTTGATCCAGGTGTTTTGTTTTACTCTTGTATATCCTCATTACATCAGACACAGCAAAGATTAGCATTCAGTTTCTATGCTTCATTGCTCTACTTCACATCTATCTTGTTTTTAAAAAGTGGTTTATCTTTTCAGCATAGAGAGTCTTTGAGCATTTGCCTGTAGAAGATACAGTTTGTAGCTTACATGCAATGAATTTTAAATGACAGTCCTGATTCTTTTACCATAACCTTCCTTTGTCAACCCACATGTGGGAGCATTGAGTCATGTTGATGTTATCCAAAGAAAAAATTTATTCAGATGGTGTCTCTGCCCAAAATATTGTATAGTGCCCAATATAATATACATGTATGCCCGACGTCTTCAGTCCCCTTCTGTTTTGGGGTGCTAGTATCAGTATTCCCTTCCACTAGCATGAATAAAGGAGAAGGGAAGGGTTTTTTTATTTTGGAAAATTGAAAAGTTTGTTCCCAGGAGGCTTGAGGAGAGAAAATTGCCATTATTGTAGGCACACTCAAAACCAGGTTCCATTCATTTTTATTGACAATTGGAAGGCTGGTTCAGAATCTAAAAACTGAAAAAGACAGTTTCAATCACCTGGTTGTACAGTTGCTCTGTTGGCTTTTTTGTTTCTCCTCCTAGAAGCCATGCACACTCTCGTGGAAAATTAGAAAACACCAAAAGGCAGGAGGAAGGTAGTAGAAAGCAGAGATCAGCACTGAATCGGTTGGCTCACGGACATTCTTTTATGTAACAGAATATATCTATTTATCTTTTAAAAATAGATGGACTGCATTTTCTGAAAGAGCTGGGAAGTTGTCTATTGGTTTTTGTCATGACCATAATATTATTTAATGGAAGATGGCATTCTGTAGCCTTAGAAAATATCCTTCACCTCTTCAAGAATGGCGAATTTCATGTAGGCCATTTACTCAACATTTCTCATTCCGTCAGTGTGGTTGGATGCCAAATGGTGGTTTTGAATAATTTTCAAAGGGTTGGTTTTTTTTTGATAATTTGCCAGGGAAGTCATAACTCTGAAAACGCTCCATAACCCTAACCATACAATTAGATTTATAGATAGAAACCATGTTCCATGTTTTGTTTCCTCACTGTGGTAGTATCTGGGATTGATGCCAAAGGCAATTATTCAACCCCATTCCATTTATTCAATTAGAGTGTACGACTGAATTTCACAACAGAGTTTAAAGGGGGAGAATGCCTAGGTTGATTATCATTCTAGTAAAGTATCTTACATGATTGGGAAAGAAAAGTGTTCTTTCCAATACACCTCAGTGAAGTAATCACCTGACTGAAAAATCTGTGTGGCAGTTGATGGAATTAATCACCTGATTCCTGAGCCACAAGAACAGCTCCTTGCCTTATTCCAAACCATCTTCCTTAACTGCTGCCATGGATGTTTTGTCCCTTAAAATTCAAACCTATTACTTCCATCCTTAAAGCCCCTTAATACTTCTTGTTGCCTGCCCTATAGGATTATTAACTGTAGTCTCTTTAGAATAGCAAGCAGGTCTTCTGTCATCTGACTGCCAACCTCATTCTTTATTCCTTTAGTCATATTATATTACTTGGAATTATTTGAAAATGTCACTGGCTTCATGTCCCTGTACTTTTATTCCTGTTTTCCTCTCTTGGAATGTTACATTGTACCGACTCAGGTGAAGCGTCACTTCCTCTCTGAAGCCTTCCCTGACTGGTTACACAGCTTGTTTGCCCCCCCGCCTTCCAGGGAGAACAGACTTTTATGCCCCAATGCATACACATACATAACTGTATCAGCACCTGTAACACACTGCTGCAGATCTTGTTTTCATGTGTAAATCCCATTCACCATCCTTTTGGAGATAATTGTATGTTTTTGTAGCTCTTACATTAGGAATGTTGCCATAGCCTTTCAGCTAGCCTGCCTGCCTGCCTCCATTCTCAGAGCGCCCTGATGCATTCTGCACATCTCAAGATTGAGTAGACTCAACAAGCAATGGCTACACGTTCAAAGGTCTGGTGGTAGTGGCTGGGTAAAATTGGCCCCAGGGCCTGATTACCACTGGGTATAATTTATTTCCTATAGTAAGTATCAAGATGGCCTCTACCCTAGTCTGATGCTGAGAGATTCCAGAAAAGGGTGGGAGTAGGGGAGGAGTGAGGAGTTAAGTAGGAAAAACTAGGTACAGTCAGGTGTGGACAGCCACACAGGTATATAGTGTAAGGTTATATGCACGGAGCCATAGTTCAACCAAGGCTGCCGCAATGTGCATGGGTAAGTGCTCAGGGATGTGTTCCCGGGGCTTCCTTGCGATCCTTGGTCAGAGTGGTAATGAAGTAAAAACAAAGAAACAAACAAAACACTGCCCAGTGACCATAAATAGTTACAGAAAACTTTGGAGCTGAGACGGACATACAGTGTAGGAGATAAAAAGAGCAACAGAAGTCAGTTGTGTCAAAATATGTTCAATGAGAATCTGAAATTTCAAAATGGCGTAGTTTGTGTATAATTAATTGTAATTGTGATACAAAATAAGTTCTTTCTTTACTAATGTATGTATGAAAGAATTGTTTTAAGATATTCTTTTTTAAAACAAAGGTAAAATGATTCAGAATGTGTAACTGTTGACAGGAACATTGATCTGATAGGTGAGAAGTGTTAGCCCACTGTTACTTTAGTTTGCATCTTCCTGATGGCTAAGATGCAGCTTTTTTCATATTGATGTACCATTTAGATTTGGTTTTCTGTCAATGCCTGTTCACACATTCTTTGCTCATTTTCCTACACAGTTTTTCATCTTCCTATAAATTTGATGGCAAACATCATAAACTATAGATGTTAACCTGTGTCTTGCTCATTGCAAACGTTGCCCATAATCTGTTGTAATATTTTTGTTTGTGGTATCTTTTTTTGACCCATGTATTTTTAATAAATATCCCTTTTCTTTTATAACTCCTCAGGTTACTCTTTTGTTGAAAATGTTTTTCTGGCCCCTGGCACATAAATTTATCATCTTAAATTTTGTTCTAAAATATTTTTATTGTTTTCTCCACATTTATTTTTAATTCATATGGAATTTATATTTAATAGGGATTAAGATAATCTAATTCTATTTTCCTTCAGATGGCTGTATTAAAATCCCATTTATACTAAGAAACATTTTGAGATTCTCCATTATAATGATCTAATTATTTTTCTGAATAACAAAGTTATCAAACATGCATGTATGTGCCAAATACTGTCCTAAGCACTTAACGTATTTTTAGCTCATTTAACCTTGGCAGCAATATTGTAGGTTAATTCTGTTATTCCACATGAACATTAAAATGCTTTTATCAAGTTAAAAAGAAACTATTGGGATTATTATTTGAATTACATTAAACTTATACATTGATTTTGGGAGAATAAATATGTTTTATATCCTTCAATAACATTTTGTAATTTTCTTCAGATGCCTTGAGCCTGTCTTAACAAATTTAAGTATTTTGTATGCTATACTTTTAGTATACTTTTATCACTAATCGAAGTGGGTTATATATGTTTCCATTTTCATCTGGTTATTCTTATAAGCATTCTTACTGATGCATTAAAAGTGGTATATGCATATTAATCATCCTAGAGTAAGTAATGCTGAGGTGGCAACCTGAAATTCTCAGTGTTCTCTCATTTCCTGCTCATACTACATATCCATCACCAGCTGGCAGTAGCTTTGTTTCACGTCTTCACTCTGGGACCCAGGCTAACAGAGTCACTGCTATCAGGCACGTTGCAGCCCTGTAGTAGAGGAAAAGGAAACGTAGTACAGCATCTTGTGGTTCGTAAAACTTTTACAAAGAAGTGTCCCATATTATCCCCCCCATCTTGTTAGTCAAAGCAAGACACGTGTCCATATCTGATCCCAGAGTGTCAGGGATACATTTCCTCCCACAGGAAAAGCCCTTTGTGTCAACGTGCCAAGCCTGGCATCTATGAGGTAGAGATGAGTAATATTCTAACAAGAAGGGCAGCAAATATTTTGTTCAGTAATATAATCTTGCAGTGTTTTGTTTTTAACCTGCCAAGATTGAGAAACCCTGGAAAATGATGCATGTATGATACACATTTATCAGTTTAATAATATCCAGTTCCTCTCTACTTCCAAGGATGCAAGAAGATTATACTTTCTTGTTTCTTGAAATTAGACATGTGAATAATCGTGGCCAGTGAAAATATGAGTGGAAGTGATGTATTTCATTCCTGCATGGAAGCATGGAAGAGCTGGAACATGATTCTCCACTATATATTCCCTGCGGTGGTGATTATGGAAGTACCCAAAGGCCAGAGTCACAAGAATGATGAGCCATTGTGTGGAAGACAGTTGTCCTGGTTGCCACCCAGGTGAAGAGTCTTTGCGGTTTTAAGTCACTGAGATTTAAGGTTGTTGTTTTATTACTGTAGCATAACCATGCCTATTCTAATAAATACAGCACACATATTTAAAAATGACCAGTGTGGCTTGGTTGGGTGTTGTCCCATAAAATGAAAGGTCACCAGTTTAGTTCCCAATCAAAGCATGTACCTGGGTTGATAGCTATCCCCCATCAGGGCATGTACCGGAGGCAACTGATCAATGTTTCCCTCTCTCCCTTCCCCTCTCTAGAATAAGTAAATAAAATCCTTTAAAATATATATACATACATATATATATATATATGTATGTACACGGTCTGACCGAAGTAATGCCTGCTTGATTGTGATTGTGGTTGGTAGGGTAATAATATGAGTGTAATAATTTATAGTTTTAATTTGAACATTTTACCTAAAATGACATATGGTATGCTTGAGTGTGATATTGTTCTGTTACAGAATTACATACTTATGATTTTGTAATTAAACAGGGGTGTTATTTATGCCAGACCCTGTTTACACATCTATACTGATATGTAGAAGTCCTGGCTCAGAGTGCCACGATATCTTTCTTGCATAGAGCACATTCATAATGCATCCTTTACAATGTCTAGTTTGGATTTCTTTGTGAGTCGAGAACTGAAAAATAACTTGTAGAAAAATATAAATACAGACTTTTACAGCTCCCGCCTCATCTTTTATAATTGCCACACCCAAACCAACAGCATTTTGTGTAACTTGCCTTTATTGAAGATAAAGAAGAATACTTAGTTTTCATAAAAACAGTCCTTTTTGCATTATTGTTTATTGGTTTGGTAATATTTATTTGAATTACTTGGTTATAATAACAGTGTAACTCATAAAAATATGTAGGAGCAAGCACTTGATACTAGTAAGCCTACAACTCAACTAGTGAAAGTGGATTACATGGTTATCAGGAAAGTAAGAGCATTTATCTTCCCATATAAGTAATAGACTGTAGATATTACAGGTATAATTGAGAGCTTGTATAAATCCCAAGAGTCACTTAGAAGTGAATTAAGAGAGCTTCTACACAGAGAACAGTGTGCACATACATATGTGTGTGTGTGTGTGTGTGTGTGTGTGCTGTAGTGTGTTCAGCCACACTAATTCTACTAGGTTCTTTTTAAAAGCTTATCTTTGACTTTTTAAATATGTAATTATATTATCAGCAAAAAGATAATCTCCTTTCCCAAGTTTATATATTTTTTTACTGCACTTGCTACATCCTCCAAATTAATGTTAAATAAACAATGGTGATAGTGAATATCCCTGTATTTTTCTTGATTTTATTCAGAATTTTCAAATGCCTTTTCATCGTCTATTTCTGTAATCACGATTTTCTCTATTAATTTGCTGGTGTAATGGATCTATATTGACAGATTTTCAATAATGGACCAGCCCTGTATTTCTGGAATAAATCTACTTGGTTGTGATAAGCTTTCATTATACTAATTCTTATAGAATTTTATAAGATCTTAAATATATATTTTTAACAAAGGGGTGTTGAAATCCCCTACTATAATTGTGTTGCTGTCAATAATCTTTCTTGAAGTCCTGAAAGAATTTCTTTATGTATTTGGATGCTCCTATGTTGGGTGAATATATATTTACAATGCTTATGTCTTCTTGGTGGATTCTTCCCTGGAGTATTATGAAGTGACCTTCTGGGTCTCTCTTTATAACCTTTTTTTTTGAAGTCTTAATTTGTCTGATACGAGTATTGCTACCCTGGGTTTTTTGGGGTTTTTTTTTCTGTCCCTTTGCTTGGAAAATTTGTTTCCAGCCCTTCACTTGTAGTCTTTGTAGGTCTTTTGTCCTGAGGTGGGTCTCTTGTAGGCAGCATAGGTGTGGATCATTCTTATCCATTCAGCTATTCTATGTCTTTTGATTGGAGCATTTAATCCATTTATGTATAAGGTTATTATTTTTTTAATATTTTATTTATTTATTTTTCGAGAGAGGGGAAGGGAAGGAGAAAGAGTGGGAGAGAAATATCAATGTATGGTTGCCTCTCATGAGTCCCCTGCTGGGAACTGGCCTGCAACCCAGGCATGTGCCCTGACTGGGAATCGAACCGCGATACTCTGGTTCTAAGGCTATTATTGATAGGTACTTATTCATTGCCATTTTTTCATACCTATGTTCCTCTCTCTCTCTCACTCTTTTCCTTAAAACAGTTCCTTTAGCATCTCTTGCAGAGCTGATTTGGTGGAGGTGTATTTTAGACTTCTTTTGTTTGGAAGTTCCTTATTTGGCCTTCCATCTTAATTGAGAGCCTTTCTGGGTAAACTAGCTTTGGTTGCAGGCCTCTGGTTCTCATTGCTTGGAATATTTCTTGCCATTCTCTTCTGGCTTGGAGCATTTCCATTGAGAAGTCAGCTGCTAGCCTTATTGGGGCTCCCTGGTATGTTACTTCCTCTTTCTCCCTTGCTGCCTTTCAGATTCTCTCTGTCTTGGAATTTTGCCATTTTAATTATGATGTTTCTTGAAGTGGGCCTATTTGGGTTCTTCCTGATTGGGACTCTGTGTTTCCTGGATTTGTGTGACTTTTTCTGTCATCAAATTAGGGAAGTTTTTCATCATTACTTTTTCTAACAGGTTTTCTGTCCCTTGCTCTTTTTCTTCTCGTATCCCTATTATATGGATATTATTACATTTCCTGTTGTCCTGTAGTTCCCTTAACCCCTCTTCATTCTTTCTGAGCCTCTTTTCCTTTTCTTGCTCCTTGTGGATGTTTTTTTTTTTCACCATCCTCCAACTCACTGATCCAATCTTCTGCTTCATCTAGCCTGCTTTTGATTTCTTCCCCTGTGTTCTTCAATTCACAGATTGTATTCTTCATTTCCTCTTGGCCCTTGTTGATAGTTTCTATTTCCTTTTTCATGTTGGTATAACTCGCAGTGAGTTAATTGTAGTTTTTCTATAGTTTTTGGTAATTCTCTGAGCTCATTGAGCTTCCTGATAACCATTGCTTTGAACTCAGTATCTGATAGTTGACTTGCCTCTATTTCATTTAGCATTCTTTCTGATGCTCGCTCCTTTCCTTTCATTGGGGTTTGTTTCTTTGTCTTCCCATTGTTTATTAAACTCTTCTTGTTAGCCTCTGCTTCTTAAATTGATCTGTTCTGACTCCCTGGGTTTCTGGTGTGAACTTCTAGGGTAGAATACCTGTGAGATTCAGTGGTGCAGTCTCCTTGATCTCCTGAGCTCACTGGTCTTGGGCTGTCATTTCTGTTGACTTTCTGTATGTCTTTGGGTTTTGATTGTTGTTGGGTCTTTCTTTGGTGGGTCTTTCCCTCCAGCTTGTTAACTGAGGGTCATTCTGTCCACCACCTCTTGTATTCTGTTGTGCATGTGTGGACAGGTCGTGTTGAAACTGATTATCTGTGTATGAGGTTTTGAGGCTTCTCTCTCATTCCTGGTCAGTTGTTTGTTCTGGGTAATTTCTCCACTGTTTAGTTGTATTTCCAGATTGGTCCTGGGTTGATATTAGTATGTCTTCTACTCCCTCCTTCACCTTTTTTCATTGTTATCTGTTGGTGGTTCCTTTGTTGGTGGGTTTCCTCTTTCACCAGATATACTGCTGTTCACAGCTCCTATCTTCTCTTTTTTGTGATCAGTTGGAGGGGGAAGGAAAAATGCTTTAAGACAGTGAGAGTGTATTCTGTAATATTTAAAGTACCAACCCACAGAGAAGGAATAGAAGATCCTTTGGATATATATAGTGTTAACTGTGATATTTCACCCAACTAGCCACTTTTTAGAAAGGGTGGAAAAAAGATAAGACTCGTTAGGGGCAGGTTGTGAGTTGTGAGTTGGATTTAGAAAACTGAGTTTGTGGGAGGTCAGATTACGAGGTAAAGTGTGAGTAAGAGTTAGAAAATAGGTGTAGTGTGTGAGAGAATAGCGTTAACCACCACAGTAATAAAGTTCAGGAAACAGTGAAGTGAGCTAAGTTTTGGGAAGGGTGCTGTATTACGATTGTGTGGAATAGCAATTATTTACAATGAGGCAACAATCATATGACAGAACCTATGTGATCTGAGTAACAAGAGTGGGAAGCACATGACCTAGAGTAATGTGCCATTGGAACACAAGTGAAAAGAAAGATGGAAAATTAAAAATACACTATTGAAAGAGAGAACATGGGAAACCAGTCAAATCATGCAATTTAACAAGCCAAGTGAAGAAGACTAAACAGAAAGAAGAGAAATACAAAAATACTAATAAAATAAAAGATGAATGAAAATATTAATAATACAAATATACAATAACTTGCAAGTTCTCTGGTAGCAAAGTGAAATTTGTTTCACTGTCTCAGTTGTTGGGATGACCTCTCTCAGGGTCTAACTCTGGTCTTTTCACAGCTCCAGGTTTTATTGTCTCACTTGTGGGAATTAAAAAAAAAAAGGAAGGAAGAAGGAAAAAAATGAAGAAGGAAGTTAAACAAAAGAAGCCGTCTGCTGGCTTTAAAACAGCCAAGCCAGTTCCGCCAGTCTTCCTGGGTGCAGCAGGCTGAGGGGGGATTGGTTTCTCCCTGAGCAGTGCTTGCACTCTTCGCAGTTGCCCAGCCTCCAGCCCAGTTCCTCAGTTTACTGCCAGGCCCCCCAGTGCCCTTCTGCACCCAGCCTACACCTTCAGTCCACCAGCTGGGCTGTCCTTCAGGCGCACTGATCAGGGGCAACACATGCCACCTCGCTCTTTGCTATCCTAGATGCTAGGGACTCTCAGTGCCCCTTCAGGCTAGTTCAGCCGCCCACCCCCCCCACCCCCACCACCCCACTGAGTTAAGTCTTTGCCAATTGCTGACTCCCTGACGCCTGCAGCTCTTGTCTACAGGTGCGTCTCCACCTTCCTCTTAGAGAGCAAGTCAGCACTGCAGGGCCCTGGGCACAGGTGTCGGGTGGGAGGTGCCTCTGAATGGTGGGTTCAGGTGCACTCCATCCTGGAGCTGCGGGCCTGAGCACTTGGCCTCCGCTTCGGGGGCTAGACAGGCAGCCGCCAGACCATGGGATGGGGTGTGCGCTATCCCAGGGTTGTGGGCCTGAGGTCAGGGCCGGGCAGGGGTAGGGGCACAGGAGGTGGGGGCGGCTGCTGCGGCGGCTGCGGCTGTGGCTGTGGCTGTGGCTGCAGAGAATTCCCCAAACAACCACCGAGTGCCTCTTTCTTTGCTTTTTCTTTTTGAAAAATTCCTCCTGTTCAAGCCTGCCGCTCCAAACAAGCTCCTGGCTTCTCACCCAGCCCCACTCTCCAACCAGACCAGGGACTATTCAGGTGGAGGTCTGGCACTGCCCAACTCTTCCCAGCCAGCGTCCACAGTCTCAGGGGTGCACACCGTCCCTGTGTGTTTGCCACTTCGTCCTTATTCCCCCCCTGTAACTTCAG